CACACACACGGTGACACTCCCACACGGTGACACACACACACGGTGACACACTCACACGGTGACACACACACGGTGACACTCACTCTGTTCCGTGTGTAACGTGACGGAAACGTGAGACAATTGTTCGCTAAGCCGTACATATGTGCATACCCGAGCAGCATCCACGCGTCCTCGTCTGCTAACCCCCGCCATCTTGGAACATGTCAGCGGCGACGCGGGTATCCTGTTATTAGACGATTCCGTTTTTTATACTTTGTGTTTAAACGGTTTCGGTAACAGCTACAACACGTAACCGGGTTGTCGAGGGGCGGGTAAGAGACCCCGTATTGCCGGATGTTTAATTTCTTTTACGACCTTTCGTACCATTTCATCAGTTTCTTATACGTGTGTATTACAGTCATTAGAGATCCTCCCATCTCGCGAACTTTCTCTCCGCTCCATGAAATCGGGGTCGTTCGAGTGCACCATGCATGTCTCTTATTGTTTCCTATCTGAATATATATATATAATACCCACGATGAGCTATAGCTATTCAAAATGCAAACGCGAACAACCGCCGCATTGAAAACGGGAAATCTACGTGACAAGTATGCGGGCGAGTTGGTTCCTGCTTGTTGTAACAATAGAACAGTCGTCGGCATGCGGGCGTCAACAGGTGACGCAGTGTCGGAATTTTCTTTCACTTTCGTGAATAGTTACTCTCTAATTTGTTGCTCGTTCGCGAGCCCATGATCATCGCTCATCGCGATAGCAGCAGCTATGCTGCGGATGAACGCCCGGGGTGGAGATCAGTAGTAGATATAGAACGTCTGTAGAGTAGTGCATGTGTGTGTGTGCGTGCGTGCGTGTGTGTGTATGTATGCGTGCGTGCGTGCGTGCGTGCGTGCGTGCGTGCATGCGTGTGTGGGTGCGTGCGTGCGTGCGTGCGTGCGTGCGAGCGCGCGCGCGCGTGTGTGTGTGTGTGTTTGTGTGTGTGTCTGTGTGTGTACGCGTGCGTGCGTGTGTGTGTGTGTGACAACATGTGTGTGTATCACATTAAAACACGTATTGCTAACAAACTCAGATACAGGTTTATGATCTTATTATAACACGTACACTGAAGCGCAGCAATCGATCTATCATTTCAAATAGCGTAAAACCATCCGGTCGTTGATGAGCAAAGGACCTTTAGGGTTCTTTAGGAATTTGCTCTTATCTATCATTCAACGACCTGAACATGCAGTCTCTGGCTCTCTGGCATGTGTTTTGATATCATGGTTTCTGTTAATTCGACCTTTGATCCGACATTTTAAAATTTTCCGCATAGCTTCAAGCTGCTGAAGCGGAATCGGTGACACGAGGATCCACCGTCTCCTACCTACTCCTACCTACTCCTACCTACTTCTACCCTAACGACAATAGATCTGAACACACGTAGTTGTTTTGATGTATCGTAGAGCAGAAATTCCTAATAGGACAAGCATGAATAATTTGTTAATTACAAGTGCGAATCGGAGCGAAAGAGTTGAAGTACGTTTTGATTTAATTACCATTTTCTTCGTGGTTTTTCAAAAACCACATTTGCCTGATGTTGACGAGCTTTTACCTTTGGCCAGACGTGCCTACCTAGATTTCTGATTGGTGACTGAAGTCAGTTGACTTTGCGCACCTTTCTACGTTTCATCATATTCTATGTAAACAACAGACAAACTATATTGTGCTGCTCGATTCTTACTGGTTGAGTCGCTCGAGCGCGCTAATTCACGATTCGTGATAGTGCGCGTCGCGCTGGGAAGCCACGTCCTTGCGCGAATTTGGGCATTTTTTGGGGGACAAAAAACCGCACCACGCACGAACGCACGCACGCGCCGCGACGCAGCACGCACCGACGCACGCACGCCAAGCATGTACCACGCATGTCCATGACATACAACCCAGTACGCATGCACGCACGCGCAAACACGCATGACTTACGCGGTTGCGCCACGCCGCACGCACGCACGCACGACACGCACGCGCACGCAAGCACGCTCGTCGCTCGGGCCACGTTGGCCTCCGACAAAGCTTCTATTGTCCTAGGACGATAGAGGTCGCCTCGTAGAAAGGTTATAGGCGGATGAGATAGAGTCATTATAAGGCAGCCTGCACGTGTCTATGAGAGTATCAGCTTACATACTCATGATCACCTGTTCACATAGATGCACAAGCAACACGTCAGTTGAATTCTCTAAGAATATCTTATCTTGATAAACGGTTTGCGTTTAAAATTAACTATTTTAAACGTGTTTTCGCTTTTAGCTGAATGTACGATTGAGACCAGCAGAGTGCTAGCTATATGTGGACTTGAATCCCACACGTGAACTCATGCCCCGGCGCGTGAGTAGTGATTTGCTAGGTGGCGATGCCGGCGTGATCACCGTGTATGCGAGATCTGGTTTGTCGGTCACGTGCGAAGGCGAACGAGATCACGCTGTAACAGGTTCAAGCGTAGCGTGAGCAAACATATAGTACGTGGTCAATGGTTAGCAGTGTGCCTGTGGTGTGTATGTGTTGCCGCGCGAGCGCTGTGTGTGCTAGTGTAGGCTAAGTGCGCTGGTGCGTGGGGTGCGTCGTGAGTGGGCGTGTGGTTGTGCGTGCGTGTGCGTGTGTTTGTTGCATCCGATGTGTGGTACTGTGCCAGTGTGCGTGTGCGCTGTTGCGTGTGGTGTGCGTGTGACACGTGTAGCGGGGCGTAGTGCGTGTGGTTGTGGCGCCTGTGGGTATGGGCGGGTGCGTGTGCACGGAGCCCACACCACACATCGTGTGCGTGTGTGACGTGATGTGACCGTTGTGTCGTGTGTGTGCGTGTGTGCCCCAAAATCAACACAACCCCCTCCGGCAGTGATCAATGTTGTGTGTGTGTGTGTGTACGTACGTGTGCATGTAAATTTTCCAAACAATATTTAAATATATTTGTGTTTATCCGCGATGTGTGTTTATTTTGGTACTGATGTTTTGTGTATCGCACACATAACACAACAGCAGTGCGAGATGTGACCGACAACAGGAGGGTCAAGCTAGTTACGCCTAGAAACCAATACAGATTCAGTTTTTCTTTAAAAAAGCATCGCTTCACCGATCCCTAAGATCGTATCTTCGCTCTCATGTATAAACTACATGGTAATCTTCTCTCTAAAGACGCGTTCGTTAATTATCTGGGTTTATATATTTGCTCGGCTGGTCAGAAACATTCTCTAGAAGATTTACTAAACGCGCGAAAGACAACAAAACATGTCGTTTACGGTGCCCCGCTGCGTGAGTGCCTTTATATGGAAACCGGCTGACAGAGATGGGAAAACAAATGACAAATTGCCTCCTACTATACCCGCGTGCACTCACCCACCGGTCACCCACACAGCTCACGGTGAATAGAGAACGGTTGCTGTGGCAAGGCAGGGGAGGGACACAACCCATGCTCTGTGGTTTATATACGCTGTATAAGCACCCCTTGATACGCCTCTACGCGTTTGGCCAAACGAATACAGTTCATGTGTATAATATATAGAAGTAGAGAGAACAATGTAACCCAACACACGAGAGTAGGTCCCTGCTCCTGTGTGTGGGTTACATTATAATATTGTATCTAATATATAGAAGGTGGTGTGTATAATAGATAAGAATATATAAGAATGAGAAATAATATAGAAGGAGATTGTAGAATATAGAAGAAGGAGAGATAATAATTTTAGTAGTAGATGAGATAGTAGAAGAAGGGAAGGCACATAATAATCAGCACGTATAATAGAAGGCAGACGGTAAATTGATAACTTTATCGATGAATATACGAGAACATCAGACAATTCTGCATGTATGCACACGTGGGCATGACGTGTGCATGACGTGGGCATGACGTGGGCATGACGACGTTAAGTTTTAGAATTCAGTGATTAAACCGTTTAGTTTTTCGTCGAACTATATATTTTTAATGCGACTTTTCTGACTGGGGGTTTTCGCGTTTGCATGTGACTGCATCTGATGTTCCGGTTGCTTTACAAAGATGATATATATATATATATATATCAAGAGCTAATAATACCTAGAGTGTACAACGGAAAAACGGGAAAATAGTGCTATTTCACGACAACATTATTCTATTTTGCCTGCGAGTCTATAATAATTTCATGGTATTGCATTAAGCAGAATTCTTTGCTCTCTAAAACAAGACCAACCGCTTGTCAATACGATACTCCTAGGCGGAGATATCGGCTC